TTTAATGAGAATGATGCTACTATGTGTCACTCAAAAATTCCACTCGTTGCCAATTTTGCCAATAGAATTTTGAATGGTTTGGGTATCAAGAAGAGAGAAATCAATAAGGGTGATGTGATTCGTGTCTTGTTCATCAGTCGAAGACCTTATGTGAAATTTGGAGTCGAGCACAATTTCATGTCTCGTCAAATTAGCAATGAAGAAGAGGTGTTGGATCGAATGAAGACTCACAGAGAATATGGCAAGAAATTCACAGTGGAAAGAGTTGATTTTGCACATTTGAAATTAGTTGAACAAATTCAAAAAGTTCACGATTCAGATTTTTTAATTGGATATCATGGAGCTGGATTGACTCACTCATTGTGGATGCCTGAGGAAACCTCTGCAGTTCTTGAAATTTGGAATACAGTAACAACAAGAGGATGGAGATGCTTTGAACAATTCACATTTTGGAAGGGAAATGACTATACATTGTGGAGTAATTCAAATCCAAAGAATTTGAGAAAGGACAGTTTGGGAGATTACTTGACTGTGGATGTTGCGGACTTTTACAAAACATTTGATAGAATGGTTAACAAGTTGATTGACTCTAGGAATTAGAAAAATAAGATGATGTGATTTAATAGTAAATTAAGGATTTTATTTAATTGATGTACAACCCGCTCATTTTATTTCGTCATTCCTGATGGTGGATTGACGCTTTTTTTGACGTCATCACTGACGTTTTTGCATAAAGTTACTCCAAAGTTAATTATCGATATTCTGTTGTGTTCTACTTGATGTTGTAATGTGTTGTTTATTTGTTGTTGTTTGTTTTGTGTTGTTTTGATGATGAAAATCAGTGAAGGAGGAGGTGACGTATTTCAGACTTGTGAATATTTTTGAAAATAATTTAAAAAATAAAGCTTAACATCTTCATCAACTGCCTTCCAATCACTTTCTTTATCCCCTGCTTCAAAGAACTTTCTACAGTTCTCATACAGGATTCCAAGCACTGTTTTTTAGTCACTTTACCAATGAGCATTTTGACAATGTCTAGAGGAATTGAATAATACCATTTACGGTAGTGGTACTGGTTACCTTTTCAACAAGACTATGAATGAACCTACACAAGCTATCAGAAGATATGGTAATACATCAGAATTGGAATTGGAACAACAACAAGCCGTAGAGAGCAATAGCTTCAGCAGCTTGCACAGTTCTAGTCATTGTGGCTGGGGAACCAATGGAGCCAAGCTTGACAAAGACAATAGAAAGGAACTTGTCTTATTCAGCATTGATGGCAACATAGGACAAGGCACCAAAGATACCAATTTCTGGTCTATACAT